CGGCTGGTGGCCCCACAGATGGCCCTGACTGCCAGCCAGGCCTAGGAACCCTACCCTGTATATTGGGAACAGTCTCTTAGATTTAAAAATTAAAACCTGGCAAGGCTACTCTAACATTGAGATGCAGCATGACAAAGCCAATTACTTATCTTCTCTCTGCTTCAGTTTTTCCACCCATAAGATGGGGAAAATGGTACTACTGCCTCAGAAGGATCATGTTATGTACTACTTTTTATAATCAGGGCAAAAAAATGTAGCTGCCCATACAACAGCAAGATGCCTTTCACCTGTATGAAAAGTATGGTCACTGGTGCAGGCAGCATCCTGGATTGTGAGAGGGATGTCCGATTGATGGTTTAGGCCTGACATCCCCCGAGGGGTCTTGGATTGCGAGAGGGTGCAGGCCAGGCTGAGGGACCCCCCGCCCCATGCATGAATTTCGTACACCAGGCCTCTAGTCCATCATAATTCATATCACCCTAAGTAGATATATATACAATAAATCCAGCTGAAAGACATCCTATATAATAAAAGGCTAATATGCAAATCAACCAAATGGCAGAACCACCGGTCACTATGATGTGAACTGACCGACAGGGGGCAGACACTCAACCCAGGAGCTGCCCCCTGGTAGTCAGTGCACTCACTCCCACAGGGGGAGTGCTGCTCAGCCAGAAGCCAGGCTCATGGCTGGCAAGTGCAGCGGTGGTGGCAGGAGCCTCTCCCGCCTCCACAGCAGTGCTAAGGATGTCCAACTGGCTGACTTGGCCTGCTCCCTCGGGGCCAAAGCCATCAGTCAGACATCCCCCGAGGGCTCCCAGACTGTGAGAGGGCACAGGCCGGGCTGAGGGCCCCCCCCCAAGTGTACGAATTTAGTGCACTGGGCCTCTAGTCTACACTAATAAAAGAGAAACATGGTAATTAGCGTACGACCACTACCCTTCCCATTGGCTAATCAGCATATCCTTATGCAAATTAACTGTCAGCCAAGATGGCGGCCGGCAGCCATGCACTGAAGCGAACAGGGAGGCTTGCTTGCTCCAGTGACGGC